ATTTTGCATGCTAAATTCTAGATATGCAAATTATTCTAATCAGCATTCTGTCTTACATACCTTGGTTGTGGGCTGTGTAGGAGGCAAACCCATAATGTTAGCTGGTGGCAGGCTTTTAGTTAGCACAGTCTGGGGAGAGTTGGCCAGCATGGAATCCCCCGTGTCTGAGGATGAGGGGGAGTAGGCTGACTGGGACACTGCTGGCACCTGCTGAGCCCTTGATGCTGGTAGATAAAGAATATTAAATTTAAGAGTTGCAATTCAGCTACACAGCAACACCACCTCAATCATAAATGTTGCTTTCATAATGCCTTCCTGCTTGTAAAGAAATACATCTTAACATCTTTATTTGCCAAAATATGGCTCAAACAAATTTGCATATCTAAAACAAAATGCTCCAGTTTTTAGCAGTAAATTGGAATAAAGACAATATGAAACGCTAGAAGCCTGTATCATGATTTTCACAATTACAGATAGAAATGGGAATTTTGGATAAGAATTTGTTACCTAAATTACTCACAGAGAAAATAATTCATTATGCTACTCATAACATTACTTTCATCCTACTCTGTAAAATGACCCTAAACGCACCGTCTCATAATTACCCTTTAACAATATAAACCTGAGGCTACAGTCACTCACACCAGCATATTTGCAGTAAACTGCCCAGCTATTCTCCACCTCCGACAACTGAAATCAGCTAATTGTACCGCAAGTAGAAGAACCGATAAGCAAGAAGACTAACTATTCTGAAGAATCCGACTACCAGGAACCAGTTCTTGATAGAACCAGTTCTCGATTTCCATCCCTACTTACCAGAAGATTTACGACCTCTTCCCCTGCTGTTTTTGTTCCGAGGAGCTGGAGGAGGAAGTTCAACTTCCTCTTCGGGCATCTGGGCCACCTTCTGAAGAAAAATCTTCTCTAGGGATTGGGCCATCAGCACAATGTCATCTGTTGGCTAACCAAATAAATAAAAAAGCAACACATGAGCACAAATAAAATATAAGAAGTACTATTTTTTGCATAAATGTCATTTCAGTTTAACAATAAAGGTTTTGTATTTTTTAAATATTTGTTAACAGACTGACAGGAACATTCATACAATTTTAAAAACATCCCTTTTGATTGTTATGTGTAAATAGATCAAACAGATAATTACAGATTCTTGAAAAGAATTTCCTCAGATTAGTGCTTACATTTCATAAATAATAATATAAACTAAACCACTGTTTTCCCACATAAAGATGTTAACAATCACCATAGAAATCCCAGACTAAGACACTTCATATGGTCGTCTACGAGACAACTTAATGCAAAATGTAGTTTGTATAAGCACTGAAATAATCTGTTACACACAAGCCATTGCTTAAATTACATATCTAGGTTGAGTTGAGTCTGCTTTGCTAAATTATTTACATATAGTACATTTCTGCAGTCATTAGGCCTTTTGTCTTTCACTTTAAAATTTTCCCTTACGTTATGCTGAGGAGCACATGTAGTACATGTTCTCTTGCTATGAAGGATAGCAGAGAAATCACAGGGCATTTTGTGTAAAGTTAAGGGAAATGGTGAAGGGTTTAAAAAAAATAGCCTCTAAAATTTCTGTCCCTCTGCTTGGATCATTAACAAAAATACACACAACTTTGGTCAAGTCATTTAAAAAAATAAATAAATAAAATAAAAAAAATAAACACCAAATCTTGCTAGATTTCCCCACTGGTTTGCTAGAAACCATTAAACACTGTACTTTAACACTTATTTTTTCACTCTGAGCTGACAAAACACAGTTCTACGCCTGCTCAGTGTAAGATCAGTGTGTTACTAAATGCAATCCAAAGGGAATGCTAGCTTGAGAGAAAGGAACAAATATCAATTAAAATGGAATAAATAGCATGGATAAAAATGTGTTTTTTACCTTTTGACCTACCTTGTTGTAGATGTAGCAGTTGGTGAACATTGTGTTGAAATCCTGTATGCACTCACTTGCACTACGGTAGAAGTTATTTTCCAAGCGTTTCTTAATGGTCCCCATGTCCATGGGTTGTTTGATAATTTTATGGTAATCCTTGGGGGAAAAAATGATTTTTTTTAATTAATAACTTTTTAATTTATGGCTCTACAGAAATACCAATCCTACTTGTTTACTGTTTAAAGTGTGGACACCTTTTCCATAATGGTCCCAAGATGTTAAAAATATGTTTTTAAAAAAACCAAAAAACCTGAGATACAATCATCTATTAACAAACCAGAAAGGATCATTTATAATAGCCAAAAAAATAATACAGAATATTGGATATTTATCACAGTATCTGGAAGTAGACACATTCAAACTCAGAGTGTTTTATCAAAGCACTTGGATTCAACCCACCGGCAGGTTAAGCTTGTAGGCATCCACGGGCTCCTGAAAAGGCCAGGCAAAGTGGTGCCTCCAAAGAGACTTCATCAGGGTCTTCTGGAGGTACTGCAGCTGGTTTGTCATGCGGCCTGGTCGGGTGGGATCCTTCACTGGGGGCTGTGGAGGGGCAGGGGGACCCTGGGGCATTGTGTGGGGTAGGGAGGGGCTCTCAAAGTCCTCGTACAGCAGGGAGGGCTTACGAATGCGTTTGCCCGAGCTTGTGTGTTGGTCCATCATACCACCAGACAACCCAACCAGAGAGCTGGAGTGAGGAAGATGTAAAAGCACAGGAGAAGAATTAATGACAATGATTTAAAATAATAAAAAAAAAAGACCCTGCATTCACATTACTAGGAAAAGAAGGAACGAAATGCTACCTTAATACCTCATGTGGAAAAAGCTGGCTGGCTGTAAATAAACTTAAGGTGGGAGAGGATAAAGAAGAAAAAAAAAAAGGAAAAAATAAGAAAAGACCCCCCCCCCCAAATGGTTATCTAGGAAACCAGGATTTCATCAATAGGTTGCAACTTTTAGCACTGTCATGGGAGCCATGACTGCATGGCTCATCTCATCTCCAGCCAACACTGTCCTATAAGAATGCTGCTGATAAGGCAATAAAGTCAATGTCATGTGATATGCAATTCAGCAAGAAACATACAGGCAGTCTGGATAATCTTCAGAAGTTTGGGTTCAGTTTCTTTGAACACTGTTTTGACCGTTTCACTGTTGCACTTTATCAAGTTGTGACAGGGAATCTACTAAAAAGAGTTGTACTTAGCTAGATAAATCTTATAAACAATAGCCTCAAAGTCAAACAACAGTGACACACTAGATAACTACTTATAAACATGATTATCTTTTCCAGATAAAATGTTTCCTCTGGTTTTCCCCACACACAAAGGAATAAATGGAGGATACGCCAATCAATGGCTTACACAAGCACTGTGGTCTCCCCTGGAGATGCACCATAATAAACAGGGCAGAGAACAAATTCCCCCATGGGCCTTAAGAGAGTTAATTAAAAAGAAAGCAATCTTTTGGAGATATCAGCATCTCTGCAAGTTATGATCTCCAGTTTGGATGTAGTCCAACAACACCATGTTCCACAAAGAGCACTTTTCAATGCACCGTGCGATGACAGAGGTCGCCTAGTTCATGTAGTTAAAGGACACAGAAAGTCGGTCCTTTCTCACCTCCATCTGAGCACCACAGCTTAATACACACATGCCCTACTGACACACAAACAATGGCTAAGCCTATGAGCCGGTTTTCTACATCAAACAGAATACAAGCAGCACAAATAACTACTAAACAGCATTAAGGGTGCCACAAAAAAAAAGGAATTTGCATAGTAGTAAACATAAGAGCTTTTCTATTTCCAGGCAAATGTTTTTAAGCTCTACTTACTTTAGTGGTTTGAAGCATTTAACAATTAAATGGGGGAAAAAAACATCCAAATATACATCCAATAACACACACAGAGAACAAAAACATTCAGAATGCCTGTTTTATTGAAAGCATTTTAAAACTTAACGTGCTTTTCTCCAACAAGATTATTTGAAAGAAAATATAACTAAAGTCGCAACATTTGTGCAAAAACGCAAACACCGTTTAATTATCAACTTGGCTCCATGTGACTATTATGGCTTTAGTGCTTGAACCTGCATTTAACCAGCTTCTGTTTTTACTAAACAGAGACAAGTTAGCGCTAAACAACCCGTCGTTATTATTTAGTCAAACTGATCAAAGACTCTCAGTCCACCAGCTGCTGATCGCGTGGTTAGACGCCCCGCCCTCGCTGTTTGTAAACACCACTTCACAACGACAGAAGCCAATATCTGACGAGCATAAGGGGTCCAAAAAGACACAAACGCCACATTTATTAAAGAGCACTGCTCGGAAAAGAATTTTAAAAAATTTTGATAAAACCCTCGGGCCATCAGGCAATTTCAGCCATTTTGCCACAGTCTCAGGCCGTTTGTTCACCAGAACAGAAGCTGCGAGCTGGAAGCTAAGCTTGCGAGCTAGCGGCGACAGACTGCAACAGCGCTTTATAAATATAACAATACACCTGGGACTGCCAAGTTGCAGTTAAGCAGATGTTGTGTGTGGGGGTGGAGAGGGGAACAGTGCACGGGTTATTTATAACTAGTATTATTATGTGATATTGTTTTACATTAGCGACAGCAGGTTGCATGAGCAATGAATGACACGACAGACAGACAGACAGCCGGCGGGGAGCACCCGGCTGACCTAGCCGATGGAGATGCAGCTGTCATTTGCCTGCTAATTAGAAGCTAAACGCTAAAGAAAACGGAAATATAGGCTCCACAAAACCAGTGTGCAAATATTAAGATTCAGAGGACTTCA